GACCAGGCTATAAAAAGGCAAGTTTTTGAAATAAAAATCTCCCCAAAAAGGCGCTTCGAAAAAGTTCAAACGTGTTTGCTGTAAAGTTACCATTTTTCGGGTTAAATTATAATTTTAAGTTGGTCAAATATATTATTTATTCACCCATTCTGTAGGACTTATTACTAATACTGACTTATGATCGACTGAATTCATAGGATCCATAGCTTACAACCAATTAAATTTTAATTTAAGTACTCCCAGACATGCTCTTAATGTTGAATTTTATGTCAGAGAACCAATTCACGACGGAAGTTGTTGCCGAGGATGATCAATATGAGGACCAGTCAGCATCGTCATGTGATTCAGATGTGTCTGAAAGAGATTCTGTTACTGAAAATGATGATTCAGAAGAAGACGACGACGAAGTAGAAAAGCCTCGAGCTGATCTTGGCAGTGGCTGGGGTCGAATAATTTATATGCCTCTTAGGAGGGGCAAGCGGGTTGAATTTGACGTGTGTCGATCAACGAATGACGAGGGCACCAAGGGTTCGTTCGATCGTGTCGTCGTCACGCAGAGTAAGAATCCAACATTGCATCAGCAAGCTCGACGGTCAATTTGGGGAGACTTGTGGCCACTTCGAAGTGGAGCCACTCCTAAGTTTTTTATGTAAATCGTTATCGATATCACAGTTGTACCGGTAACTTTTACTGAAGTATCACGTGAGTAAGCAACAGGCTCACATGCACACCCGCACCAAAAGGAATGTGAAAAAGATGCCAGTGTGAAATTTTACTAATTTCCTAATATCTGGGGCAAATCAAAGGAATGGGTAGTGAGTATGTGCAGGCGATCACATGCTGCTATGTCTTGATATTGGTAAGAAATAATTATGATTATTCAACTTGTATTTATTATATTTTTAATGAATGACACTAAAAAGAATTGCAAATCGGGTCTATTAATGTTATTTAGCATCATTTGTGTTAAACACCAGTTTACATGTTAGCATATCATATGTCCAACATATAGTTCCCGTTTGGCCCTCATTTTGTGAAATTGAAAATGGATGGAATAGTGTTTCTTTGAAAAATGGGTGGTTGAAAAAAAAAAAGTTTTCGATTTACGTATAAAATTATTTTATGGAAGATTGTGTGGTTGAAAATATAATAGAGTAAAATGAAATGTAATGGAATGAAAATTAATAGGGGTCAAACGAGGTCCTTGTATTTAATTAAACTTGTAATTTAATGTCAATGGTTCTGTCATCTAGATTAATATTAAACACTGATAACGTTAGATAACATTATTCAAAGAATAATTCTAGACGTCTAACCATCAACTATTTAGGTTTCAAATTAAGTCGGTTTAAGTGATTAGACCTCTTAAGTATAAGGACTTAGATCCATTTCAAGGTAGTATCACGTATTTCATAAAAATGCTTTCAAACTCCATTGAACTTGTCACATAAATGGACGATCATCAAGATTTTAGTTGAATAACATTTGTTGTGATGGATCTTTAAATTTACAGCAGTCAAAGTTAATTTTGTCGATTTCTTGTGAAATGTTATTTGCTGCTGCGAAAAATTTGGCTCGACTGGTTGAATTATGCACTCATAAATTAAACAATCAACATACCGTGTTGGCAATAATTGAACAAATGAAAAGGGAAGAAATAATAGTCATACAATATTATGACTTGCTTTTACATATTATTATAACATACTTATTGGGACCCAATTTATTGATAATTAAGGTCTTTATGAGTACAAGTTGCATATTAGTATTTGCTAATGTGGTGTGGAAATCAAAACACAACCATTGGTTCAGAGACTTCAAGGTATTGGATATTAAAATTCATAGATATTTTCCACCTTAATTTTATAATGAATTTATGCTTGCTTTTCTTATAAGAAATTGACTATGAAGCTTCGCTTTGATCCCGATAAGATACACTTAACTATACACCTCGTCTCTGCACTGCGCTAGTCTTTTTGCAAAATAAAATTTCTTATCAGCATATCGACTAGATTAGACGAAAGACGTAGCATGGTTGATCTACGGTCCATAGTATTAGATTAAGACGACGGCAGCCGCAATGTGGGGGTTCGATTTCTGAGACATAAAATTGAATTTTTTATAGGCGCAGTGTACAGGCAGCTTTTGTTCCCTAGCCTACTGGGACACATCCTGCGATTTATCTCCCTCACAAAACTCTAGGAGTGGGACAGTGATGACCCCCAAGATTGGACTTCAAACCTTTAGATTAAGACGACGGCTAAATTTAAAAATTATGGAGAATTATAAATTGAACATCCAACTAAAAAAGTGCTTGAATCCAAAAAATATTTGTTTGTAAACATTGATCATATTCTAGAGAATATTCATCAAAAGTATACCTAACATAATTGACTTGCTTTTTGTGAACACTATTTTTTTTATTTATATTCCCTGCCAAGCAAACTGGCACGAGTCATTGTTTTTTACTTTTGCAAGTAACATGGACAAACCAAATTTGTACAAATGCATGTTGTCTGGTTTTTTCTATAATTGATTTTCTTGTTAGTATACATTTTTCTATATCACGTCCTTTTTTTTCTTTTAATTTGCACCGTACACATATGCAGGGAAAAGAAAAAAAAATAAAAAAATTACACTATTTGTAGTTTCATTTTCAAATCTGGAATTTACGAAGATGCCCTAAATCTTGGGTAATATCCATGATAATCTTGAATATTTTAATGCGTCTCAATCACATGTTTCATGAGGACATAAAAAACAAAAAATAAAAACAAAAATTCATCGTAATTAGTGTGAATTAAGAAATTGGACCGTATTTCATGTAGACTTAAAGAATATAAGAGTGAAGTAATTTTGTTTCTACAGTCCGGAGATCTTCGAACAAATTTCTTGGTCTATGGTTTGACTATATTGAAATGGACGTTTCGAGTTTCACCTCGTATTAAAATATGATATTATTATGAGATCATTTTAGTCTACATGTGACTAAGTTCTAATTAAACAACCTGTCGAGAATATTGTAAATAATTTTTCTGTAAAGATCTTTTAGCAGGCGTAATAGTAAATCGAATGAGACAAAACTTAGGTTGTTGCATTCATTAGATATTTATGTTAATAATAATCCATATTGATTTGTGTTTGTACCAAAATTTTAAAGCAACCAATTAGTGGAAACCTTGGATT